CATGTACATATTATTCTCAAATAAACATATTATTAAGTACAATCTTATTTGGAAATAATATTTTAAAACAATACGTACAACGATGGAAAAAAAATATTAACTGCCAGCGTACTTTTTATTTTATTATTGTTTAATAGTATTATGCGGCTAGTTCAAATCTAGATTGTAATTTTAATAGCCAATGGAGTTTACTATATAATGCATTCTATAGCAAGTTTTCATAGATGAACTATGATGACAATGTTTCTAAAAAACCGGACACGATCATTTTCAAAGCATAGAAGGAAGACTTTATCGAAGCTATTTTTTAACAATCTGATTTTAAAGAGCATAAAATTCTAAATAAAATCAGAGATCACTGTATTTTCCCGTGGCACGATGTTTCCACGCATGACAATTCCCCGCCGACACTTCCGCGCACGACACTTCCGCGCAGCAAAACTACCGCGCGCGACACTTCCGCGCAAATGAGTTTTTTCTCTTCTGTTTATGTTGAGCTAATGCTAGAGGAATCACCTGGATTGCTATAGGAATTATCTGGAATGTTACGGAAATCACCTATGATGCTACAGGGATCATCTATGATACTGGAAGGATCGCCTGGGATGCTAGTGGAGTCACCTGAGATGCTAGAGGGATCGCCTGAGATGCTAGGGGATCACCTGAAATCCTAGAGGATTGCCTGAGATCCTATATGCATCTTCCATGATACTAAACGCATCCATTGGTGACGCTTGTAGAATCCCAGATGACTCCTCCAGCAACTCAGGCGATCCGTCTAGCATCCCAGGCGATGCGTCTAGTATCTCGGGCGATGTTTGCAGCATTCCAGATGATCCTTCCAGCATCCTAGGTGGTCCCTGTAGTGTTCCCGATGAGCTTACCAGCAGTTCAAGTGATCCCTCTGGCATCCTAGGCGATGCCACTAGCATCTCAGATGATCCCTCCAGTATCATAGACGATCGCTCTAGCATCCCAGATGATTCCTTTAGCAATCCAGGTGATCCTTCTAGCATCTCAGGTGATCGCACCCTTATCATAGGTGATCTCTCTAGCATCCCAGGTGATTCCTCCAGCATTAACTCAACATAAACAGACGAGAAAAACTTCATTTGCGCGGAAGTGTCGTGCGCGGAAAAGTCGGCGCGGAAACGTCGGTGAACCGTATTTTCCAGAACCTTCCATTAAATAGTTCAAAGCATAAAAAAATCGAAAAGAAAATTTGTTTCAGCTGATTTTTTCAATAAATTTCATTTTTTTTAACACTTTTTATGACGATTTTAACTTTTTTACGAAAAAGTTTTAGAAAATGCAATTGCTTCTCATTTTGTTCAGAATTCTGTACTCTTTAAAATGACACCACTAAAAAATAATTTTAATAAGGTCTTCTACGATCTGAAAGTTATCATGTTCGGTTTTTAAAAACTTCATTATCCTAGTTTACCTACGAAATCTTGGTATAATATTTTAATTATATTTTTTCTTTTTCAGTTGTTAACAATCAATGATGATAATGATAGTTCATAGACAAAAAAACTAGTTTTTAATTTCATGACGATACTTTAACTAAACCACTTTATGTATGTATTATTTCAAAACATAATTTACATTGATAAATATATTAGAAGAAAAAAAAACACTATTAATTATCTGGGTTTTTTTTTACAAGTATTTTTCTTTAGGTCAATATATTTTTTACAACTTATAGTTAATGAATATAAACTAAATAGAACAAGAAAGATATTTTTATTTTGTTATGGTTTTGTTTAGGATATTGTTGAAACATTAATATCATTACGTCATGGTTTACGCGCATCATTTGCTGAAATTCTACAAATTGTTTGTCTTCATGTTGATCTTAATGATTATGCTGACTACAGTTTACCAAAAGAAAGTTCGTTAATTATATGAAAGAAGAAAAAAAAGCATGTGAGCGTATCTATTCTTTTTTTTGATCGTTTTATAACAAGCAACACATCTCATATTTCGTCAAAGACAATTAAAACATATTTCAAATATGTTAAATACTATAAAAGAAGATAGTGGAGTGTAGAAAACTACTTTATTGAATTGATTAAAATTCGAAAAACAAATAAATAAATGATGAAAACTTTATATTACTTGTTAATGAAGATTATTTTCTATTCTATTGAAAAACAAATGATAATAATAAAACAAAAATGATTGTCTAAAAAATAGCACTAGAATTTTAATCAAACTAACTTCTTGAATTCTTAACTTTGTTAGATATCAATAAAGAATTCGATTCATTTTAATATGCTGATTGCAAATATACTATTTTAACTGATTAAATATTTTTTCAAGGTCATAAAAACTGAAAAACTTAGACTTTTTTTTGAAACCCATTGTGTAGTTCAAGAATGTTTGTGCTAAAAGAGATCAGAAACAGTAAATAGAAGAACATTCTGACAAAATTTGGAGGTTAAATGTCGATGGATTGCTTATTTTATGAGATTATACCTTTGGATGACACTAGAAAAATCTTTTTTTTACCATTGGTTAGAGTTCGGCTTAAAGATGTAGAAAATATACTTGATTGTTCTAGTTAACAGTTTAATTTCGTTAGATATCGATTTTCAGACAAGTAATTTTTCAGTTTGTTTGAAAATTGTAACAAAGTTATTAATAACATTAGATAGACTATATTTCGAAGTATATTTTCCTATATATTTAAATCTTGAAAAAGCACGGTTTTCATTTTTAGTCAAATGTCCACCTAGATGCATATTGTGCCTCTCCTCCTTATCCAACCGTATATTAATAACGTCTCGTTCTAATATATGAATTATTCTTTATTCCTTTTTTGAAGAAGAATAGTGAAGAAGTGCGTCTCTAAATAGAATAAAATAATCTTCCTGTAATTAGTAAGAGCAGTTACATCGTCTTTTATATTTAAATTCCACAAGAAATTGCGTTAATAGTTTTTAATGAGAATGAAAATTGAAATATAATATATGGGGCTGGCCAATCTGGTCAGATATTTCAATACTTTTTTTATCATTCAGTTTCTATAATATATCAGAAAGATCTGATTTTATTTTTTTACCAGTTATAATATTCGTATAATGCTGATCATTTGCCAAAGATAAGGGATTTATCTCTTGTTTGAAACTAAGATAGTCAAGTGTCTTCAAAAATCTTTTGGTATTTACAAACACGATTTGCAAAAACACTTAACATATTTAAGTTTTAAACAAGAGATAAACCTCTTATCCTTGGTAAATGATCAGCATTATACAAGTACTATAATTGATAAAAAAATAAGATCTTTCTGATGTATTATAGAAACTGAATAATAAGAAAAACTATTGGGATATTCGGCCAGACTGGTCAACCCCATATATTATTATTTTTATTATTCTCGAATAAAATATCATCAAATTTATCTAGTAGAATTTTTCGTTAAGGGGGCTCTCCCCCTCAGAAACCAACGTTGTTATTTCTCATCCGATTTCAACGAAAATTTCAGAGAATGTTAGTCTTGGCTAGAGGAGACTGTGGTTAAAATATCTCCCCAAATCTATGAGAAACGAATGAGTTACAGTCAATATATTGGTCAAAAGTACCCTTCACGCGGGCAAGGTTTTCGATATAAGAATATTGGCTAATCATGTCGGCGTGGCATTTAACTTGTAGAGTGCCCTTATGGCCAGATCCTCACGAGCTCCGATTTTTAAATTTCTCTTTGTTTAATTTTGAAAAATACTTCTTCAAAAAATGTTCAAATTCAAAGCGCTCATAAAAATGAAATATCTACGTTTTTTATTCTAGCAAAAGAGACATTTAAAAATCGGAGCTCGTGAGGATCTAGCCCTAACTGCCTGCTATACAATAAAAAAAAATGATTACTTCTATATTGAGTCGTTATTAAGAAATCCTTGCCCGCGTAAACGGTATGGTCGGAAAAATTGATTTTGAGAAAAACGAAAAACAAAAACTTCTTTGTAGTAGTTTTTGATAATTGCTAACCATTGAACTATTGTTTTCTACTTTTAATTGAAACTAGATATAGAAAAACATTGAAATGTACATAAAACATCATATTCATTATGATGCATAATAACTAAAGATGGGACCAGTATTCAACATTTATGCTTAACTATTTCGAGTTTGAAACATTTAAAATTCATATCCATTATGACACTCGATGCAGAATTGAACATGCTACAACATGATGCTATCTTTTTTCTGATTACAGTTTTATAGAGCAAACAAAGCTCTGCCGATGGGTATATAACTTAATTTGAATGCTAAAAAGAATCAAAGAAAAAATTCAAAAAGAATGATAGGTTAATTTAAGAAATTTTTAGCCAGTTTTTTTAGACGTCTATTTATGGACTGCCTTAGGTCGGTTAACCGTAGCTGACCAAGAATCGATCTTTAGATCATAATGTTTTTGATTATTCTATAATGCACCAAGGTTTAACTTCCTATGAGGTCGAATTCGACATCTGTTTTCCACCATGTTTCCACTATCTTTGGCATTTTCGTGGAGTGTCTCTTAATTGAGAATGAAAAAAATGGATTGAGTTCTAGAGCGCAACAACTTTTTACAACGAGTATGTTGCTGGATTCTCTTTCTCATTTTCTTCTAATGCATTGAGAATATCTGCCGATCATTTGACAAGACTGATAGCACTTTAACAGTACATCTGGATTGAAAAAACGAAAAAAATCTTTAAGGAAAAGTTTTTGACATTTTTTTTTCTGAAATGAGTTAAAAGATTCGGATCTTCTAATGCGGGAAGAGATTTATCTTGTCTATTGTGAAATTCAACCGTTCAATGAACTCAGTTCTTATACAACTCTATTTTTTGCACAGCATTCATTTTGTAGACATTCAAACAGTTCAAAGGAAAAAGTTAAAAGGCATTTTTTAAATTTTATTTGAATATATATGTGTGTAAATTTGAAATAAGCATTACAAGAATCCAAATTTTTTCTTTAGTCATTTTGAAAGGTGAGGCATTAAAAATGTTTTATTGGCAGAATGTTCTGATTGATGGTTGGTTTTGTGTATTTGGTTGACCAGTAGCAGGGAGGCTTGGTGCAACTCTTTGAGTGTTCTTTTTGCAACTGATCATCATGATACATTCTCGTCGAAATGCATCAAATGTAATAAAATAAAGTGGAAATGATGTTATATGATATGTATAGAGAGCAGAATCTAATATTTTTGCAAGTGTAGTAGTTGGTGTAGTGAAGAAAAATGCGGCAACAATTGTTGCTGGTATAGTCATTATTAAAAAGAGACATGTTGTAAGAACCAATGTAATCGATATAGCTCGATGTTGAATGTTTGAATTTTGAATTATACGTGTATTGCGACGACGAATTAAATGATAGATAACCCCACTGTTAAATGTAACCATCAATATGAATGGTGCACAATTATACACACCCAAATTAATATAATCCCATAGTGGATATATTTTATATAGTGGAGCATTGGGATTGACTGAACCATTTGATCTGTAAAAGCAAGTAAAAATTAAAAAGTGGAAATTGAATAGAGTAAAAAAGACAATAATGCATGTGATAATGATGAGAACACTTTTTGAACGACTAAACCATGTACGATGAAGACGACTCGCCGATAAATATCGATCGAGACAAATGAATACACGAAGCCAAGCCGATGATTGCGAAGCAAAGTAGTTAAGAAATCCAAAAACTTTGCATGTTGGAATTGAATACGTTAGAAGTATAAATCCATGCATTATTGAAAGATAATGATCGAGATTCCACCCATATAACATCAGAATATCAAAAATGGCTATTGTACGCATGTAATGAATTATTGGTTGTTTTTTTGTGTCTCTGAATGTTGGTCGACAAAGAATAATGAATGTTAGAAGATTTAATAGGGTACCAACAATGACCAAGGTGAATGGATAATAGGCAACAATCAAAGCTTCGCTCTGCTTGACATTTGTTGTTGTCGTGCTGTTTGACATGATAGGATGAGTTGTGATTGAAAATTTTTCTCTTTCTATTATGATCAGATTAGTTGAATAAAATAAAAAGAAAGCATAGGAACATGTGTTACTAATAAACCTGTTGTGTCCTCTTTTCAATGTATTATATGTTATTCAGTGGCAACAATGTTTTTTAAAATGTGATGTAAAAACAACGGGAACAAAATGAACAGTAGTTCTTACGTGTTTTATACGTCCGTGATTCGATTAGAAAAATCGTTATGCTCCAAATTTATCGAAAATCGACCACACTGTCAAAATACGATTTTTTGATATACTGTCCTATATTATTTGAACCGTGTCTTAATACTACCCTGTATGCTTCGTATGGTATAACGTGTTCTATATTTTATAGAAATAAAAACTCAGTTTGTAATGAAAGAGTATAAAACTGCGACAAAAGCTTTCAATAATTTACAGTTGTCATCATCAGGATATCATTACAAAAGAGCAAAGTTAAGCTATATATATAGATATACAAAATAAGGCAGAAAAGAGAACAACAAAATAAAAAAAAAAGGGAACATTACAATATCAATTTGTACATCAAGGATAACACAACTATAACTTCGCTATATTTTATATTAATTCGAATTAATTTAAAATATAGTGAAGTTATAGTTATCTTTGATGTACAAATTGATATTGTAATGTTCTCTTTTTTTTATTTTTTTATTTTGTTGTTCTGTTTTCTGCCTTATTTTGTATATCTATATATATAGCTTAATTTTGTTCTTTTCTAATGATTTCTTGATGATGACAATTGTAAATTGTTGAAAGCTTTGGTCGCAGTCCTATACTCTTTCATTACATATCTATTTCAACCTGCGCTATCATTTAATTATATACAAAAACTCAGTTTGTTTAACGGTGAATGCAATTACAGTTATTATATTTCTTCCATGCGGGAAGCCACACTAATGATTAAAAAAAACAGGATGCGATTTCATTTAGTTGAATAAGATGAAAACTTATGTATTCCACCTCGAGAATTGCGAACATTGAGAGAGAATAATCTCTCAGAAGTTGATTAATTGAAGTCATTCATTTTACTCACAAGGATAATTATATATAGATATGCAAAAAACACTAGGGCTTCTACAACAGTATTTACTCACTGTCTTCATCTACAACTACAGGAATTACTGGGCATACAATAGTTCTCAAAGTTACCCAGTAATGCTTATTTTTAATTTGTTTCTGAGAAAGAATCCACATAGTAATTTGAATGGGAAAATTCGTTTCCAACAAAGATTTTTAAAAATGAAAAAGATTACTTGATTCGCAAAGACAGGGTCTCCAGAAAACTGAAAACTTTTTTTTTAAGCATCTACAACCTGCAAATATAATTTTCTATGAACTATATAAAATGATAAAGCAAACGAGTTTCTCTACTCGAATCACTATTTTGATTCTTTTTAACACGCAAAGAATTGGAAAAAAATTGAAGACAGGCATTGTTCGATAGCTTCGGGAGTCTCTGTATCTATAAAACAATTTACTAAGATGCTGCTTACTGATAGATCATCGATTTAATTTTGTTCCCTATAAAACACCATCAATTTTCACAAATGAGCTCTCTGTATCATCGGATCAGACGAAGATGGTCAAAAAAAAATAATTAATTCAATGTGAAGTAGAGATATGTTTGAATATCCTTTGCTACTTTCAAGCTTCTGTATGTTCACACCTTTCGAAATTCAAAACTATATTTTTTAACATAGTAGATATCTCACAAATTTGGTGGACGTTTAAAAACTTGATAGAGAAATAGGCTATAGAAAAAGTTTGTCACTAACATTTCTTCAAACTTGTGCGCATAAGTTCTTCGTTTCGATACTCACTTTGTGAAATATATTTTGTTTTCTACTTTATTTTGTGAAACACATTTGGAAAAAATGTGTTGATGTATATAGCAAGTTAATCAGTTAATCTTATCCTATTCACAAAGTGTGAAAGACATCATAACATGTCCAAATAATCCATCACAAACAATGACAGATATGACAAAAGACTGTTGTGCACGATTGAAGCGGCTCTATCTTGTTTTATAATGTAATCTCGTTAGGATTAAAGTAGACTTTTTTTAAATCAAACTGTTTTGTTTCTCTCTCATCAGGAAAATGAAAATATAATCAGCTCAGAGATGTTTTCTATTTATTTTTCGAATAAAAAGGAAGTTTGTTTTTTAATTTACAAATTTCTTAAGGATACTGGAAAAATAATAAATAATTGGAAGAGAACAAGGTGGAAAGATTCGACGCGTAAAAACATAGAAACATAATCAGAAATTTTCAAGTTTAATTAAACTGTAACTCAAAAATATTTTTTTTCAATTCAATTACTAGATCGACGAGAATGGGTTATTTCTGAATCTTCCGACAACTTGTGATTCAACTAGCTTTACAATAGGGAAAATGACAGCTGTCTTCTGATATTTTGCGAGATACTATAAGTTTAAAGGGTCTTATCACTTCACTTTCTTTCATCCTTTTCATTTCACTCTAACTGCTTAGGGATTAGAAAAAAAGCAGTAAATCCTACTGAGAAAAACGCATATTATCAGATTTTCTAAGCGTATTAAAATGTTTTTCATTCATCAATATCATTTTTTTCTGTGACAGAACAATGACGCACTTCTTCATCAAACAATTTACATTTTTCGTCATGGTTATTTCCATTCCTTTTTTTGAATTTAGAACTAAAATCATGTTTTTAAAACACATTTTATGTTCATTTTATATTTGACAATGCATGCGAGAAAGGTTTTCAACCGAACACACATTTAGTCATGTTCGCACTGATAACAATCAAGTACTTATAACAGAAGTATTCTTCACTTATATCAATTTATACATCGGTTGACAATCCAGAGAGAATTGATGCGTGTCATAAAATAATAACTCCTACACTATGATATTAAAATACATACTTCAAAATCTAAACTAGTCATCCATTAATTGAAAACTTTTTCAATAAGTTTAGACAAGGATATATTTATCTATCTTTTTTTTCGTATGTTTCCGTGTCATTTGATAGATCTTGTGCAGATTTATGTCAAAATTTTCCTGATAAAATTTCAGTTATTGATTGAAAGATAATTTTGAGGAAGCTGAAAATTTCTAGGGAAATTATGAATGAATGTAATATGAAAGAAAGATGTTTATGGAATTATTGCATAAATATATATCGCAACATTTATATAAAATTCTTCACGAGAGAAAAAAATGTAGAATAGGACTATGGAGTGCATTAAATTGTGTCAGATTTTGTGAAAAGATTGAATTTAAAAGATTATTACTACGAGGCTATTATTCTAGAGCATGACAAAGTTATGTGTTATTCAGTTTAACAATTATTGCTTCGTCTGCTGCTGTTTCCGTAATAGATAACAATTAAGAATCAAAAGATGATAGCATCGCTAATTGGAAAGAGAACAGCAATAATTCACAATGGAATCAAGTTTCGAAACGAATCTTTCACGCACACATTAAGACGTTATTTATTTATTGAAACTCTTCTAAGGAAAAAAAAATGATTTTTTTAGTATCAAAGCTTTGTTTTCGAAGAATTTTTTCCGGTGAAATATACAAACTCAAAAATTTCGAGAAAATGGTTACAGATTGGGATTACGCCATTTCAAAAAAACCTTTGTTCAAACTTTAAAAATAACCGTTATTTTTAGTAAGCTATCTTGACTTTTATGTATTCTCACAGTTTGCATAACTACGCTAGTTTGGTTCGAGTGAAGTAACGGACATGGCTGTGGAATCTTGTTCGACCCAACCCACGGCAGCTTTGTCGAGATTTGTGGCATACACTCTCTTGCTTTAATAAGAGTTCAATTTTACTATTTCAAAATTAAGTATTTAAAGTAAATTAAGGACAAGTTAGTCATATGGCACAACATAGAAAAATATTTGCTAGGTCACTGATGTCTTTATACATCTTTTATTTTTATTAGATAAATCATTCTTCGATGAATCAAGACTTGTGTTACGATGAACCAGAACATTAGCTAAAATTTTCGTAGCTTAATTGTCGATTGCATTTTGTTTCAAGAAAAGTTGAAGTGATGTTTGATTAGTTTGGAGTATTTCAGCTAGATAACAAGCACACACCGCTGTAATACCATTTGAATTAAGGTAAAGTATTTTAAGAGTCATATTTCTAATTGAAATTGCTTGTGCTAAAACGCATGCACCCATGTCAAACAAGCGATTTCCATCAAGGTCTAAATCCTCGAGTACTATTGTTTCGAATTGCAATGTATCAGTCAAAATTGAGCCCCCTTTTGATGTAATTTGATTACATTTTAACTTTAGATGTATGCATTATTTATTGAATGTTGCATGTTTGACTACAATTGCCATATCTCGATCAGTTAGTTGTTG